CTCGTAGATACGTCTACCAAAGCGTGTGTTTTGGATTACAGAGACGAATTTACATTGTTAATATAACATACAGCAAACCAACTATATATTACATTTTTTTAATCAATTATTATTCTATTATGGTTATTTATACATTTACAACTACAAAATGCATTTTTCAGTGTTTTCCTTACTATACTTATTTTTTTTAATGTACTACTTAGCTTTAATTTGAATGTGTTTTTCGTGTTGGAACAAATTATTTGGTTTTACATGTAATTGTATGGGGAAAAATGATTCACCTTATGACTTTTCATAATACGATCTCAGTTTCAGAACAGATTAATTTCATAACCTGAGGTACCACTGTAGTTAATAAAAAAAACTTTCATTTAGAGATTAAAAAACTTAAATAAAATTTAATTTTTTTAAATCTTGGGACCATAACATTGTAAAGACAAATATATACTGCTTTTTCAGCTAGCCAAATGTTTTATTATATGTAAAAATGTTTTTGGTTTTTTTAGGCCAACTTCAGTTATAGAAAATTCTTGAAATGGATCAATGATCCAAACATTATAGAATTGAACAACAGTTTAAATTTTAATTAGCAATAAATATCAATGTTAAAACATTACTTAAAATTAATCTGAATAAAACTTAATTTGTTCTATAAGTAAGTTTTATTTTCTATAATACTAATATAGTTTTATAAAAATAGCATAATGATCCAGTTAAGTAAAACAAAATAAAACTTAAATGGTCAGTTCACCAATTAAAGCCAGCTTGAGGAGAACATATGCATTACTGTGAAATTCCTTGCTATGATGACAACAGATAATGTAAATCCCAAGAAAAAACTGGTGGAAGAAGGTTAAAAAATAAAGCTCAGCAAAAACATCTAAATAAAGGAAACTTTTGAAAGTTGTGGCATAAGAATAATGGAAACATGTTTGATAGTAAAACAACATGTGAATAAAGTACACAATACAGAGAGTACAACTACAGAAATGTAACAGAATGGTAAAATTTGACTGTTAATGTCTGGGTCATAATGTTCTTACACCACCTGTGGATTTTGGTCCACAGGAAATTACTCCTCGAGCAAGTGATCTCTTATGAGGAGTCAGAGTAAGAGAACAAGAGGATGAATTACTGAGACAAAACCCAAAAGTGATTCACTAATACTATATGAATATTAAAAACAACAATAGATTTATTTAACATGAAAGAATTTTACTGCAGATACATACAAAGGAACAATCAGCAAATAAACCTACCCAGATGTGCCTACCTTTGCAAGAGTGTTTATAATTAATTCACATGACAAAAATTATGGAAGTTACCTCTTAAAATGTTGATTTGATTCAGTCTTTGTATTCTTGGAATTGTTCACTTGAGTGGAATATACTCCTTGGGTTTCTTATAATCCATATAGTCCTTGTCCTCATAAATTGTTTCTTCTAACAGCAGTTCACTTGGATGGTAAATCCAAACAAGCACTTGAATGGAAAATGGTCTTTTGTGGAGAGCCTTTAACAACACTTCCTTCAATGAGTTGCATTCAAAAGGAAAATGTATCATCTTAGGACACAAAATCAGATAAAATGTTATGAACTTCCTTGTTGAATTTCAGGTCTATATCAATTAGACACACACACACGAGGGCTTATCACACTGGTGATTATTATTATTTCTTGTTGAAGTTCACAATCTCAGGCTTAGTTAAACTTTAACAAATTTTAATATAAATAAAATGTTATGAACTTCCTTGTTGAATTTCAGGTCTATATCAATTAGACACACACACACGAGGGCTTATCACACTGGTTATTATTATTATTTCTTGTTGTCTCATCACTATTATGTAATTCAAAATATGAAATAAAAAGAACAAAATCAAATAAAAAGCTATTTAACTAATAGCAGATTAAAGATTAGTTATAAGATTTGCATTATAAACAATTGCAGTTTATTTTAAATTAATCAAAGACAAATTACTAGAGTGTTTATGGGCTGTAACCATGGGCATAGCCAGGAAGGGGCATGGGTGGGCATGCCCCCCCAGTTAACCTGGTGCCCTCCTCAGAAAATCACAGCCGAAAAAGTGTTGAGCCGATTTGCAAAAAGAAATAAAAAGTTGAAGCTAATTTAATTGGGTGTAGTGTACCACGGCCTGCAATTAATCTCTGAAAATTGGACTGGACTTCAAATAATTGGTTGAATGGATTTGCGATAATTCTCCACAACCTGACAATATGAAGTTATAGGAAAGTTGAGAAATTCTGATCCGAAAAAAAAAAAAAAAAAGGCAAAANATAAATACAATTATTATATTATATAAAAACAAGTCCTGGATTCTCACAACATGTAGCTTTACATTGTACAAAGTAAAGCTTGAAGCTTTTTTCTGTGAAAATTATGACATACAGCTATATCACGGTATAGCTGTGTGTCATAATTTTAAGTTAGAATATTCTAGTTTGTAGCTTCTGTCCTCGACTCTTTGTCTTTTCCCATTTCTGGAATCTTCTTTTGTCCTCATTTCTACTTCACTTGATTGATGATTGATGTTCTGAACTATCCTGTGGGGAAAGAAAATGCCTAAGGGCCTAAAGAGGAGTTAACAGTTTTTGGACCAGGAAGTAGCATTCAGACTGGATGAGACAGTGGAGAGGAGAGGTTGATCCTGACCATAGCAAGAGACTTAAGAATTTCTTGAAGGCTTCGTGCAACAAGAATTCCGAGGCTTCAATTAATTGTTGAGAAAGAGAGTCTCCCTTGATTTCTGATAAAAGGATATGTTAACTTTCCTAAAAGGACAAACAAGGAAATTTCACCGAGAATCATTGAAAGGAATCAACCAAGTACGGGTGCCTCTTTCTTTTCCCTTTCCTTTGTCTATTTTAATTTTCCTTTTCATCTCTATAGTTAAAAGTTAGTTGTAAGAAATTTTTTTGTAATACAATTTCATTAAACAGAGGTGACTGTGTAACACATGAAAATCTTTTTTGTTTTGTCACACGAGTCCACATGTCGGGTCTTGGTCTCGTGTTTTGTTTTCTTGGGCAGAGCTGGGCAAAACGCCCTAGGGTTGGCATCTAAATTCTTTTTTTCCTTTTGTGCATTGTGTTATTATTTCTTATTAAATCAATTGTTGTTTTAATTATGTACTGTCTTAATCATATTGTATTTTCACCCTTGCGGCTATTAGACACAACCACACTTCATAATGGTGACATTGCTTCAAAAATTTCCTGAAGTTGTAGTCTGTGTAAGGTGCACTTTATTCACATATTGAGTCTTACTGTTGTAGCACTTCGTGGCTATTATTGTATTTTATGTTTCTTTATTTTTTTGTTTTCCGTTTATGTTATGTTGTGCGTATGTTTTGTACCGTTCCTTTTCCGTTTCCTTCCTCAATACCACCTGTCATCTGATGGCTAAGTTTTCCAACATTACAATTGGTCTGTGACAGGATCACGTGTGACAGAGTGACGTAGTTGGAGAGAGATATAAAAGCGTATTTAACAGATAAAAAGGCACCTTGGTTTTCCTCTTCAGGAGAGTGCGCTGTGGACGGAAGGAGAGAAAATATGTAACAGAGAAGAGAGTTGACCATCGATAGAGTTAATGAAGTTGTGGTGCGGAAAGAAATTCTGTTTCCATCAAAGTCAATGATTGTACCGTTATGAAAGAAGTTTTTCAAGTCCCTTAGGTACTCTGTTTCCCAATTTTTATTTGTAAAATTCTTTTTTTCGTCAGATTTATATTACTTGTTGGGCAAAGAAGGGCCTCATGTGAGAAAGGAAATTTAGAAGGGGGAATATCAAGCAATTTTATTATTGTTACGCTATCTGTCCGGTATTGAACTGTATCTTTGTATTAATATTGTACCACGTTTTTCGACTAAAATAAACTTTTGTTTGTCTAGTTACATGTTTTCACCGACTATTCATTATCCTTTCCTTTGTTCTATTCCTTGTTTGTCTGAAACCGCAGACCACGTGCCTCGCGGAGTTTACACTGTCAAATTTGCTTCCAGTATTCTTGTGCCACAACTTTCAAAAGTTTCCTTTATTTAGATGTTTTCACTAAGTTTTATTTTTCAACCTGTGTTCCAGCAGTTATTTTTTATGGCATTTCAAGTATTTTTCAGTCATCAATAACTTCATAATAGAATAGTTTCATGATAATTCTATATTCATCTGACAGTCACATTATAGCTTACAGCAGACAGTCACATTATAGCTTACAGCAAGTCATGCAATATGATAAATGTTCGCTTATTATTGATCAATCAGTTAAAAAATGGGATATTATTTTGTAAATACTTGATATTTTTAAAATAAAACCTTCAAAAAGGCAAGTAGGACGTGGTCAGATCTCAAATGACCTATTAAACATATGCAGACTCCTCCTAGATTGATAACCTGGTATTGCTATTCTCTATTGTAAATCTAGGTGACAGAATGCTGATAGCATAGTCCAAAATGATCTAATAAATTTATTCCAAATTTAAGATGTCCATAGTACTCATCATGGACACTATGTTAAATTTCATCCAAATCAGTTCATTGGAGATATTAAGATTCTCTGAAACATATGTAAGAAGTTTAGTAAAGCTACTGATTGAAGAATTCTATACAAGAGAAATTCTATCATCTACAAAATCTTGCAAAATGACAAAGATTCTCCCAACTCCATCAACATTCCAGCTTTTCCTCTTAAGGATGATAAGGTCATGCATAACAAACAGTACATTGGAGTCACCTTAAGATCTCTACGTGCATGATTGAAGAAGAATAAATACAACATTCAGGAGTCTCACCTAGTCACAACCCTCGCTGCTTATGCTCTTTCAGATTCTGTCAAAGTACACTGGAAACAAGCTAAAATCATTAAAAGTATCAGAATAAGCATCATGTACATCATATGGAAGCTCTATATATATATATATTTACAAATCCATTTGACAGGATTATTCTATCAACTACAAAGATCTTAAATACTCTTTCTGTAGCTTGGAGAGCTTGCTATGAGTTGAACATTGTGTAACCAAGACATCTTTCTCCAACTTTGGGGTACTGACTTTTGTTTTTCCTTGGTTATTTCTGTTATTCATTTTTTGCCATTATGGCTAATGCTTTCATTAATGTATATTTTCCTATTTTTATGTATTTTAATCATATATTTACATTTATTCTTTGATTTAAAATTCTCTGGCATTCTATGTTCCAAAATATTTTTGTTATCCTATGTAAGCAATCTATTATCAAAATACTACAGTAACTGAACGTTCACTGTATAATTAAGTCAAAGATGCCTCAAATCCAGTAATACTAATTTATTAAATCAAACAAATGTTTTCAGCCTTATTTGAAAGTCATCCTCAGGTTAGAACAAAGATCACCACATAAACTGAACTTTCTTAAAATCATCAAATTTTTTGATGAATTAAATAACTGTTTACAAGAGCAAAAGTACTAAAATGTATAAACAGCATAGATTTATAATTACAATTTACAAACAAGAGTTCTGATTGGTTTGTTTTATAAATCTAAATTATATGAATGATTTTTAATAATAAATATGCTATTTTATACAAACTGTCAACTTAAAATTGTAACAAGGATTCAGAAAATAAGCTAAAGCTTTTGAAATCATTGATCTCTGAAGTAAAAATCTAGACACATTGAATTTGAACCTAGTTTTTATTATAATTATTAATAGCTTATAAAAAAAATATGTGGTGACCAGATCTTGATTAAAATGCAACAAAAAGTAAGAAAAGTGACTTATTTGCATGTATTATCATTACCAAATCCTAACTTTGGTCTAAACAAATTCAACAATTGCCTAGGATCAGGATATGATAGGTCCATAAATCAATTTGTAAATTTATGAATGAATGAATGAATAAATAAATAATAAAAATAAGTGTTTAGTGAACAATGTAAACATTGTAACATTTGTAGCTTTTTCAAATTCCAGTGGTAAATATAATAAATAAAATTAACACTATTTTAGGCCTAAATTGCAAAGTTTAGCATAAGGCTCAAAATTTCTTTAATCAAGTACTGACCATTACAGTAGAGTCTTGATTGAGACATAGGTTTCATATTATCCAAGATGAATAACAAACTGTGTAAAAGTTATCATAGGAGAGGGGGAAAAAATTAAAAGAAATTGTAATTGCATGTTTACATTTGTTTAATTTTATATAAAACTCTATTTATTAAAAGTGTTTATTATTGTGTAATTAACAATTTATTAAGTTTATTTTTAGATTAGGTCTACTTATTGGAATACATTATATAAGTATCCCTCATATAACACAGTAGTTATCTTCCAAAAAAGAGCAGTGTTATACAAATTCATGCTGTATGAAATAAAGGACTAATGCAAAACATGAGGTTAGGTTCCAAAAGTTAACAAAAGTATACTATTCTTTTTCATTACTAAGAGAAACATGTTTATGAAAGCAATCAATAATTAACTAACAATTACAATTAAAAGTACTATATTATGCATTAATATTCTAGTTAAATGAGGACATTTTCTTTTTACAAAGTATTCTCATT